TGGAAGGGGAGATTTCCCATAAAGGAGGCCACCAGAGAGTTGGGCTGCATTTTCTTTCTCTGTGGTTACCTCTTATTCTTTTTTCATTGAGTCTCACTCACAGCCCTGTAAATCCTTCGGGCAAGAAGCAACAAGTTGCAGGCTTCTTCTACATCTGCCTAGGAAGCGGGTGTTAGGTGGGAGGAGGGCAGAGGACTCATGCATCTCTCACCTGGACCTTAATTTCCACCTGCAGACTTTCTTTTAATGTAATCTAGACTCTGTTAGGACCTAGCACCTAAGACCAGTCCAACAATCGCTCCCCCTGCACTGGGCACTCTCCAAGAGTATGCCTGGCAGTCAGGCTCTGAATCCTGGCATGCTGCCTATTCTGGCCTTTCCCTTTTGTTGCCCTAAGGGCTGTGTGTTGTGAATCAAATCACTGGGCAACGAAGTACCTTCAAAAGAGCCCCAAGCTCTCTGGCAATTACTGTGTATTCCAGCCAAAACTGCAGAGAAAGGAGGGCATCAAGCTTAGGGGGCCAATCCCTGTCTTTCTACCAGTCCCTTATAACAACTCAAGCTCCATTTAAAGAGGCTCATATTGGAATACTCTGTTGACAAGGAGATACCCCTTCACCTCTGCTAGGGTGAGTGCTGGTAGCTCCTCCCTGTTAAATGCACATCTCAATGCCTCTGCCCTAAGTGAGTTGTGCAATAAATGAGCTGTCACACTGAACAGGTGGGAAAGAAGTGAACTGCTTGTTCACTTGCTGCCGTTGCCACTGCTGGTCCAGAAATAGAAGATAAGACAGGTGAGAACTGCTTTTCCTTCTATCAAGAAAGATTCTAAACTGAGGCAATGCTTTGCATTGAGTTCTGGGGTTTTGTGGTTTTGGGAACCAGCAGTAGTCAAAGTATTTTCTCTTGGTAACTCCTTAGGCCATAAAGGCTCTTTTCTTTTTTAAATAAAACAAAACAGCACAAAAAAAACAAAGACAAAAATACCTTCAAGCTCCCTTCAGTAGTTGCTACACCTTCAGATTGAGACATCCTTCCTTATTTGCAAACCTCAGCTGTGTCCAGGGGCAGGGCCACAGTGAAACTGCCAGGAGCAAAAAGGCTTCCAAGAAAAAGTACCACATCAGACTGGAAACTGGGGACAGATCAATCCTGGGATATGACGGGCATCAGAAGGCTCCCTCTCCAAAGGACTTAAGAACCAAACCTGACAGTTTCTGTACTTGGTAAGTTTTGTGTGGTTTGCTGTGTAAAGCATATCTGAGAACAGGTATTATTCAGCTCAACTTCCTTTTCTCCTTATTGGGAGGGTTTGTGAATTCAAGTCTGTGGACTGAGGTGGTGGGGAGCATCCAGTTAGAACTCTAGTCACATGTAGCTCACAGCCATGTGGGCTGTGCTGGGGATGGTCGATCAAGCATTTGGAATAGACTTGGTTTTTGGAATGCAGTGGATCTGATTGCTTCTTGGCAGCTTCTCTTTCCCAATTACGTTTGGCTTAGTCTGATAGTCAAATTACTTTGCAATCCCTAAGCTGATCCAGAAAGTATACAGAGGAGACAGAGAGAACGCTGTCTAAAAGGAGACTGGGGATGGGGGAAGGAGGATTCTGGTTGGATTTTCACAATGTTCCCTGAATAATCCACAACCCATCCCAAAGAATGGTGACTGCATGTGATACCCTGGCTTTTTGTTAACATGCCTCTTTAAAATGTTGGCCAATTAAAGCCATTGTGCACATTTTCAATTGTTTTGTTCCCTTAATGAAACTCAAGAATGTATATTACAGGTATGGATTTGATTAAAAATGTAAGGTTTCTCATAATGAATGTATGTTCTGGTTCAAATAATTTAGGAGTTTCCTAAAATCTAAACCCAGTACTTTCCATTGCATCAGAAAACAAAACCTTGATAATTTGAGTTCCAATCTGAATATGGTGATTCCACTGAAGTGAAGCTAATGTTTTCCTTTGTATAATTTACAAATGAATTGTTCGCATGAAATTTAATGCAAGCAGAATTGTGAACCTATTTTGGAGAATGGACTGGTTTTTCTAATGGCGTTATTTTGTTGTTATAGTTGCTGAGATAGGGTCTTGGTCTGTCATCCAGGCTGGAATGTAATGATGCAATCACAGCTAACTGTAACCTCAAACTCTTGGGTTCAAGCGATCCTGCTGTCTTAACCTCCCAAGTAACTCAGAGTACAGATATGCACCACCATGCCTGCCTTTTTTTTTTTTTTTTTTTTTTCTAGATGTGGGGGAGTCTCATCATGTTGTCCAGGCCAGTCTCAAATTCCTGTTCTCAAACAATCCTTCTGCTCCAGCCTCCCTAAGTGCTGGGATTATAGGCCACTGCACCTGGCCTCTAATCGCTTTATAGAATTCATTATTCACATGAGAATATATTCACAAATTGTTCAGTATCTCAGCCACCTATTAAACCAAGTTTAAAAATAATAATAATGACCATTTTACAATTTTAAAAAGACTTCAAGTTGAAGAGCCTTAGGTAGCAGGTATCTTGAGTAGAGTATGTATGTATTTAAATGATGTTAAAGAGAGGCACTACAAATATTGTCTGGTCAAATTCCATCTTACCAAGTAAAAATTAATTGATTTTATTATTTAAAGGTTGAAATATAAAATAATAACAATATACTTAAACCTCCATGGTGTAATGTCTAGAAAACTTCTTGCCCTCTCTCTCCAAAGCTGAAATGTCAAATGGTGAGGTTAATTAACACACAACAATCTTGAAGGTTAGCTACTAATTTTTTTTAAATTATACTTTAAGTGCTGGGGTACCTGTGCGGAATGTGCATGTTTGTTACATAGGTATACACATGCCGTGGTGGTTTGCTGCACCTATCAACCCGTCATCTACATTAGGCATTTCTCCTAATGCTATCCCTCCGCGCTCCCCCTACTCCATGACAGGCCCCAGTGTGTTATGTTCCCCTCCTTGTGCCCATGTGTTCTCATTGTTCAACTCCCATTTATGAGTGAGAGCATGTGGTATTTGGTTTTCTGTTCTTGTGATAGTTTGCTGAGAATGATGGTTTCCAGTGTCATCCATGTCCCTGCAAAGGACATGAACTCATCCTTTTTTATGGCTGCATAGTATTCCATAGGGTGTGCCACATTTTCTTTATCCAGTCTATCACTGATGAGCATTTGGGTTGGTTCCAAGTCTTTGCTATTGTGAACAGTGCTGCAATAAACATACATGTGCATCTGTCTTTATAGCAGATTGATTTATAATCCTTTGGGTATATACCCAGTAATGGGATGGCTTGGTCAAATGATATTTCTGGTTCTAGATCCTAGAGGAATTGCCACACTGTCTTCCACAATGCTTGAACTCATTTACACTCCCACCAACAGTGTAAAAGTGTTCCTATTTCTCCACATCCTCTCCAGCATCTATTGTTTCCTGAGTTTTTCATGATCACCATTCCTGGCATGAGATGGTATCTCATTGTGGTTTTGATTTGCATTTCTCTAATGACCAGTGATGATGAGCTTTTTTTCATATATATATTGGCTGCATAAACGTCTTCTTTTGAAAAGTGTCTGTTCATATCCTTTGCCCACTTTTTGATGGCATTGTTTATTTCTTGTAAATTTGTTGAAATTCTTTGTAGATTCTGGATATTAGCCCTTTGTCAGATGGATAGATGGCAAAAATTTTCTCCCATTCTGTAGGCTGCCTGTTCACTCTAATTATAGTTTCTTTTGCTGTGCAGAAGCTCTTTAGTTTAATTAGATCCCATTTGTCAATTTTGACTTTTGTTGCCATTGCTTTTGGCGTTTTAGTCATGAAGTCTTGGTCCATGCCTATGTCCTGAATGATATTGCCTAGGTTTACTTCTAGGGTTTTTATGGTTTTAGGTCTTGCATTTAAGTCTTTAATCCATCTTTAGTTAATTTTTGGATAAGGTGTAAGGAATGGATCCAGTTTCAGCTTTCTGCACATGGCTGCATATGGAATATGTGCCACAATAGCAAAGACTTGGAACCAAATGTCCATCAGTGACAGGCTGGATTAAGAAAATGTGGCACATGTACACCATACACTATGCAGCCATAAAAAAGGATGAGTTCATGTCCTCTGTAGGGATACTGATGCAGCTAGAAACTATCATTCTCAGCAAACTATCACAAGAACAGAAAACCAAACACCACATGTTCTCACTCATAGGTGGGAATTGAACGAAGAGAACAACTGGACACAGGAAGGGGAACATCACACACTGGGGCCTGTCGTGGGGTGGGGGTACGGGGGAGGGATAGCATTAGGAGATACACCTAATGTAAATGATGAGTTAATGGGTGCAGCACACCAACATGGCACATGTATACATATGTAACAAACCTGCATGTACATGTATCCTAGAACTTAAAGTATAATAAATAAATAAATAAGAAAAATAAGTATAAAATAAGAAAATTTGTTTTGCAGGTGTTATTTAGTTTGCCAAAGAAATCTCACTGATAAAAATTCATCCTGTATAGCTAGGAGCATCTACATTTTTCTTTACTTCAGAGAAACACAGTAGCTTATCATCTAACTAAATTGCCATGGTGCTTCAACTGAGCTCAATTCTAACAAGTCAAGATGGTTAAATTACAAAAACAGATTTCAACAAATCATGTTAACATACAAGCTATAATTTTCAGAAAGTATTTGCTTTTAAATACTGATGATCTGTGATTTTTTTTATTTTTTTTAATTTTCATCACATTTGTCCCAGTAGGCCTTTAAATAATCCAGAAAAAGTTAAAGTGGGAACTTATTTTCCCATTTTGCCCTGCTTTTGTTTTGATGACCTTTCACATTTATCATAAATTTAAGAAACGGATTGTGAAGAGAAGGAATGATCCACCAAGTTTCTACAGAGATACCTAAGTAATTTAACATGAGCAACACCGAAGTCTTTCTAGTTCTTCCACATTCTCCCATGTGCCTTGGGCACCCTCCAATCAGACACTCACCTGACATCACCTCTCTTGGAACACCTTTCTCAGGACATCCATTTGGCAAAATGGGTTGGAGATAATGTTCTCAGGTTCCCCTAATGATTGGAAATGTGCTTCTTCCTCTCTCATTCAAACCTAGTAGAAGAAAAAAATAAAAGATGGAAAGCTCAAAAGAGCAGTCTGAAATGTAATTGATGTTTCTTGGCACAGATGTCTATAGGAGTGGTCAGTCACTTCAATAGTTGGTGTGACATGGGCACAACACCATCTTTAAGCAGAGGAACAATGTTCCTCATGGTAGAAAATGAATCCCTGGACTGAGTATTCATTAAGTATTAGTGTTTCACATTTCAAGTTATATCAAAATACTTTCAGCCAAAAAATTTTCAAACACATGAATGAGTATATTTTTTTAAATGCATTGAGTTTAATATATATATGAGCACACAAAGAACTTCATAAAAATAAATAAGAATAATTTTTAAATGGTCTTATTCCTACAAGAACTTAAGATAAATCATCTGTGTGCTGGTATTTCCTAGCCTCTTTCTACTTCTGTTTTGTTAGTAATTACAGTAGATTTTTTTTCTTTGGCTTGAAATGAGGATTCAATGAGTTATTATATAAAAGAACTTCAAACACTGAGTGGCATAAAGAAAGCATTCAAAAAATGTAAACTATCATTACTTTTTACTACTACTGCTACCTCTACTGCTATTACTACTCTTGTAATCTTACTGTCAATACAATTAAAACTAATAATCTTTTTTCACTTTATGTTGTTATTTTTCCTGTTTTATAGAGGTAAATTGACAACTAAAAGTTGTAAACATAATGGTCAATGTGATGCTTATGTATACATTGTGAAATAATTCCCACAATCAAACTAATTAATATATTCATAACTTTACGTAGTTATCATTGTATGTTGGGGGGCAAGAATGCTTGAGATTACTCTTTCAGCAAATTTTGAGTACACAAGACAGTATTATTAACTATAGTCACTATGTTGTACATTGGATCTCCAGGACTTATTTATCCTGAATAAGTAGTATGCTTTGACCAACATATCCCCATTTCTCCCACCTCCCAGCCCCTGGCACCCACTGTTCTGCTCATGACTTCTATGAGTCTGGCAATTTTAGATTCCTGTATAAGTGAGATCATATTGCACTTGTCTTTCTGTGCCTGACTTATTTCACTTAGCATAATGCTCTTCGAGTTGATCTGTGTTACCAAAAATGACAGAATTTTCCTTCCCTTTTAGGGCTGAATAATATTCAGCGGTGTGTGTGTGTATGTGTGTGTGTGTGTGTGTGTGTGTGTGTGTGTGTGTAGACAGATGATAGATAGATAGATAGACAGATAGATAGATAGATATGGGTTTAGATATATACCACATTTTTAATCCACTCATCTATCAATGGACATTTAGTTGTTTCCATATTTTGGCTGTTCTGAATAATGCTGCTATGAACATGAGAATGCAAATATCTCATTGACATACTGATTTCATTTCCTTTGCCTATATGGCCAGTAATGATACTGCTGGAATGGTAATTCTATATGTTATTTGGGGGAAAACCTCCATACTGTTTTCTTTTTTTTCACTTTGAAAAATATATATTTACAGGAACAATTCCCCATTCTCTGGGACTCTTTAGGGGAAAAAAAGGTCCACTTTGGGGAAGTAAAACAAACAGTAGAGATGAGTGTAGCACCGTCCCCCAAATCACCAACTCCCAGGTCCGGAGGCCTGGGCTGGGCCAGCGCTAACAGGTGAGCCCGGGAGTCTTTTGAACCCACTCTCTCTTGCCTAGAATAGAGACAGGACAGGCTTTATGTCCCCCATTCCTCCCTCCCAACTCCAGGGACATTGAAAGGGTCTTTTGTACCCTCCCGCAGGTAATTGGGGGGCTGGGAGGGAGGGAACTGAAAATACACGTTTGGTATCAAAAATAAACACTTGGAGGAGGGAGGCGGCAGGAAGATTCCCCCCCAAATCCCTTCCTTCCCACCCACCCCACCAAATATAGGAAGAGATGACTCCCTCTCCCCTATTGAAAAGCCCCATTTAAAAATAGATTATACTATCAAAATGGCAGCGGGGGAGAGACAGGGAGACCTGGGGAACTGGCTGAAGGGGCCCCCCAGATGGGGACCACCCCCCAAAAAAACCCTCCATTGGGAGGAAACAGGCAGGACCCCAGGGAGGTTGGCAGACAAAGGAATGGCTTTTCAGGGGAAAGAAGAACAAAAGTGACATTCCTCCCTGGCCAAAGTTGGTTGAAAAAGGATAAGCTGTCTGAGAGAAAGGCTGGGGAGGTGGAAATTTCTATTCCAAGGGTGTGATTCTTCCTTGGCCAAGACTCCCAACCCATTAAACGGTACAAATTCTTCCTGGACCCCTGAGTATGGCCAGGAATAATAAAACAAACTAACTCTTCTACTCACATCTGAAAATGGAGGCAAGGCTCCCTTATCTCCCCAAGGGCAGGCTGAGAAATAAAGAAAGAAACTTCGTTCTCAAGCCAGACCCCGATTGTCTTGTCTTGGGGAAAAAAAGCGGGGAGGTGGGGGAGATGTCCTAACCACCCTAAAAGGTTCGGTCAGGCTCCTCCCAGTGGCCTTCAAAAAATAAATAAATAAACTGTCCCTACCATTGATGTAGGAGACGTGTAAGGGCGACCACTGGGGGACTGACAGAAAACAGAGAAGTTGTGGAAGCTGTGTGTTTTCTGTGGAGGAGATAATGAGAATTACTCCTGAGAGTAATTCTTCTCAAGGATCCCCACCCCACCACAATCACAGAATGAGTCTTTCAGTTGAACTATGTTTCTCCTTGAGATGGCTGGCTGGAGAGAGCATGGATGGAGTGATCCCAGAAGGCGGGGGGGGGGGGGGGGGGGGGGTGGTGGTGGTGGTAGTCATGGCTTCCGGGGCCCTGGGGAGAGCACCACGGGGGTCGAGAGGCCGTCCACGCTGATGGAAAGGATATGTACCTGGGCGCTGCCACTGGTCGGAAACTGGAAGGAGAGCTTGGCCGGGCTACGGGGCGCAATGGGACTCAGGGTGCTCCAGAGGTGAATGCTGGGAGGCAGCGAGCTGGGTGTCAGCAGCACTGGGGTCAATGTATGCATAGGAAGTAGGGACGGAGTTAGCGCCGGCCCAGGCACCTGGAGGCCGGAGCCAGTTCCCGATCCTGGGGTCCGTTCGGGTCCTGGCCCACCTAGCAGGCTCGGGCTGAGTGGAAGCTCTAGGTCCTGGGGCTTCCGGCCCTTCTGCGGCTGGGAGATCTCAGGGCTGGAAGCCGCGGGGCCGCCCGCCTGCTTTGCGGTGTCCATAACGACCGCCGGCAGCCGGGCTGGCACGCCCTCCTGTGGAGGGATTTCTGGCTCGGCCTTAGTAGTTTCCGGCACAAACCCTCCCTCCCCGGCAACTTCCAACTCTTCCTTGGGCCCTTCCACTTTCACTTCCGGGGGCAAAGCCCGGCCCAAACCTGGCTCCACATTCAGCCCTTCCGATTTCAGGTTTGGGGCCTCGGGCGGGGTCAGGATGGTCTGCAGAGGCAAGCCGGCCTCCTCAGCCTCCAGGCAAAAGGGGCTTGGACTGGTGCTCCTGCTCCCCGAGGGGGGCGCTGCTGCTCCTGCAGGAGCTGCGTTAGGGAGCATCACAGCCGGCCGAGGATGAGGGGGTGGCTGTGGCTGCAGAGACTGGATGGTGAAGGTGGAATAGAGGCCCGAGCCCATGTACTCGTTCCGGCGGCTATGTGCCAAACCGCTCGGGCCTGCCCTTCCTGCATCCTTGGGTGTGCCTGGCTTTCCAGAGGCAGTGTCCCCTGGGGCGGCATGTACAGCAGCAAGGGCCGCATTTGGCTTGGCGGAGGTAACAGACACCTCTGACTGGGGCGCGCAGTCCTCAGTGGAGCACCCTGCGACCTCAGGATGGGACACAAACTTGTAAACGAACTTCTGGCCGCTCACTTTGCGGATGATATTCTTGTCATAGTAGTACCGCAAGGCCCGGCTGAGCTTGTCGTAATTCATGTTGGTCTTGTTCTTGCGTAGCCCCCACAGCCGGGCCACCTCCTCTGCATCCACCAGCTTGAATTCACCACCATCCCGTGAAGTCCAGGAGATGATGTGGCCATTGCCTTGCTGTCTGAGCAGCTGCAGCAGAAACTGCCACAGCGTCACAGATGGGTCCATCACTGGGGGAGTGCTCACGCCATCCCAGGGGTACCTGTGTGTAGCGTGGCGGTGGCATTGGCAATGTTGGCAGCTCCGGGGGGCTGGGGCTCCATACGCGGCCCCACCGCCCCCCAGGCCTGGGTTCTGAGGAGGCGGTGGCGGTGGTGGTGGCGGTGGCGGCGGCGGCAGACCTAGAAGCCCCATACTGTTTTCTATAATGGCTAAAATAATTTACATTCCCATTAACGGTGTTCAAGGGTTTTCTTTTCTCCATATTCTCACCAAGACGTATCTTTTGTCTTTTTGATTACAGTCATTGTAACAGGTGTGAGATGATATCTCATGAGGTGGTTTGGGTTTGCATTTACCTGATGATAATTGATAGCATTTTTATATACTTGCTGGCCATTTATATGTCTTCTTTAGATAAATATCTATTCCTTTTCTTTACCTATTTTTAAAATTTTTCTTTTATTGTTTTAGAGGTAGAGACTTTCTGTGTTGGCCTGGTTGGCCTCAAACTCCTGAGTTCAAGCAGTCCTCCTACCTCAACCCCTCAAATAGCTGGGATTACAGGCATGTACCACTGCACCCAGCTGCCCATTTTTTAATTGAGTAGTTCGTTTTCTTGCTATTGAGTTGTTTGAATTCCTTATATATTTTGGATTAACCCCTTATCAGATGTATGGGCCCTGCTGTGGCTTACAGAAGAGTCAGCATGGTTCCATTTGAAAGTGACTTTAGCTTATTGAATGATATAGGATGATTGCTTAACTTACTTGATTAAAATAAGTAAAAACATAGATGGTCCTCAGATGGATACTTTAGAAATATTTTTTCTCATTTTTTAGGCTGTCTCCTTACTTGCTTTATTATTTCCTTTGCTGTGCAGGGATTTAATTCAATACCATCTTATTTGTTTATTTTTGCTTTTGTTGCCTGTTCATCTGGGTTCCTATCCAAAAAAATCCATGCCCAGACAAATGTCATGGAGTTTTCCCGTATGTTTTCTTCTAATAGTTTTAAAGTTTCATATTTTATGTTTAAGTTTGTAATCCATTTTGAGTTGATTTTTATGTATGATGTGAGATGAGGGTCCAGTTTTATACTTCTTCATCTGGATATTTAGTAACACTCCTCCATTTGTTAAAGAGACTGTCTTTTCCCCATTTAGTGTTCTTGGGATCTTTGTGACAGATTAATTGACCTTAAATGCACAAATTTGTTTCTAGGCTATTACTTTCTATTGATTTATATGTATTTTTTATTCCAATACCATGCTGTTTTGATTATTATAGTTTTGTAGGCTATTTTGGGATCTGATAATGTGATAGTTCCAACTCTGTTTTTCCTTCTCAAGACTGCTTTGGCCACTCAGATTTTTTGTGGTTCCATATATATTTTAGAGTGCTTTTTAAAATTTATTTGATAAATGTCATTGGAGTTTTGATAGTAATTGCACTGAATCTGTAGATGACTTTGGTAGTATGGATATTTTACTGATATTAATAATTCAAATCCAAGAACACAGAGTATTGTTCCACTTACCTGTGTCTCATTTAATTTTTTTTGTCATTGTCTTATAGTTTTCAGTGTATAGATCTTTTACTCCTTGGCTAAATGTAATCCTAAGTATTTTTAGTGATCCTGGAAATTGAATTGTTTTATTGATACCTTTTTCAGAATGTTAGTTGTTATTATACCTAAACGCTACGAATATTTGTATGTTGATTTTGTATCCTGCAACATTACTAAATTTATTAGTTCTAAAAAAATTTTTCTGTAGTCTTTAGAGTTTTCTGTGTATAAGATCATGTTATCAGAAAACAAGGACAATTTTACTTCTACCTTTCAGATTTGGATGCCTTTCATTTCTTCTTCTTGCCTAATTGTTCTGGCTAGGACTTCCAGTACTATAACATTAGAAGTGGGCATTCTTGTCTTGTTCCCAAACTTAGAGGAAAAGTTTTCAACTTTTCATCAGTGAATATGATGTTAGCTGTGGGCTTGGCACAGATGGCATTTATTATGTTGAGATACATTCCCTCTATACATCGTTGTTGATAATTATTATCATAAAAGGATGTTGAATTTTATCAAATGCTGCTTCTGCATCTATTGAAATGACCACCTAATTTTTATCCTGAATTCTGCTAATTGTTGTGTCATATTTACTGATTTGTGTGTGTCGAACCATCTTTGCATCCCAGAGATAAATCCCACTTGATTATACTGTATTTTCCTTTTAATGTGTATTGAATTCTTTTTGCTAGTATTTTGTTAAAGATTTTGCATCTATGTTCACCAGGAATATTGGTCTGTAATATTCTATTCTTTCAGTGTTCCAGTCTGCCTTTGGTTTGAGGGTATTGCTGGCCTCATAAAATGAGTTTGGAAGTATTACCTCTCTGTCAATTTTTGGGGAAAGTTTAAGTAGAATTTATGTTCATTCTTCTTTAATGTTTGGTGGAATTCACTGGTGAAGCCATCAGGTCCTGGAGTTTCCATGGTTGGAAAGTTTTTGATTACTGACTTAATCTTCATACTTATTGTTCTGTTCAGATTTTCTATTCATGATTCAGTCGTGGTAGGTTGTACATTTCTAGGAATGAATTCATTTCTTCTATATTATTCAATCATTGGCATATAACTGTTCATAGTAGTCTCTTACGAGCTGTTGTATTTCTGTGGCATCAGCTGTAAAGTCTCCTCTTTCATTTCTGATTTTGAGTCTTCTCTCTGTTTCTTAGGTTAGTTAATGGTTTGTCGATTCTACCTTTCAAAAAAGTTTTAATTTTTTCTTATCTCTATTTCATTTATTTCTCCTCTAATCTTTTTTATTTCCTTCCTTCTGATAACTTAGGGATTAGTGTGTTCTTCTTTTATCTAGTTCCTTGAAGTGTAAAGCTAGATTGCTTATTTAAGATCTTTTTTTATATTTTATGAAGGCATTTATCACTATTAACTTCCCTCTTCAAACTACTTTTACTGCATCTCAAAAGTTTGTTACGATGTGTGCTATTTTTGTTTGTCTCAAAATATTTTTAATTTCTCTTTTGATTTTTTCCTTGACCCATTTGTTGTTCAGGAGTTTGTTGTTTTGTGAAAACTGAAAATTCACAGGAGTTTTTCAGTTTTTCCCCTGGTATTAATTTGAAGACAAAGTCATTATCTTTCATAAAATGATATTTCATATAATAGCCAAGAGAATAATAAAACTTTTTGTGAGAACATAAACTGCAGGCAATTTAAAGTATATCTTTGGAACATAGTTTACATGTATCCTCCCATATATGTTTTTACTCCCAAGTTCTCATTTCTTCTAGACTAAATTTTTATGACAGCTCCATACGATGTATCTGATTTTAGCCCTTTAACCTTCTTTCAATATACCATACACACTGTCATCAACTTCATTGTCAAATCTGCTACCTGAAAAAAATATATAAAAATTCCCTTTCATAATAGAATGAAACCCAAACTCCTTATCTTGCTATGCATGGTGCTTCATGATCTGGCGTCAACATGCCTTTTAATCTCTCTCAACCACCATTTCCCCTTATAGCCTTTTGTCCCAGCCAAACAACATGTTTTCTTTTTTTTTTTTTTTTTTTGGAGATTTAGTTATTTATTTATTTTTATTTATTTTTTTTAATTATTATTATACCTTAAGTTCTAGGGTACATGTGCATAACGTGCAGGTTTGTTACATATGTATACTTGTGCCATGTTGCTGTGCTGCACCCATCAACTCGTCAGCACCCATCAACTCGTCATTTACATCAGGTATAACTCCCACTGCAATCCCTCCCCCCTCCCCCCTCCCCGTGATAGGCCCCAGTGTGTGATGTTCCCCTTCCCAAGTCCAAGTGATCTCATTGCTCAGTTCCCACCTATGAGTGAGAACATGCGGTGTTTGGTTTTCTGTTCTTGTGATAGTTTGCTAAGAATGATGGTTTCCAGCTGCATCCATGTTCCTACAAAGGACACAAACTCATCCTTTTTGATGGCTGCATAGTATTCCATGGTGTATATGTGCCACATTTTCTTAATCCAGTCTGTCACTGATGGACATTTGGGTTGATTCCAAGTCTTTGCTATTGTGAATAGTGCCATAATAAACATACATGTGCATGTGTCTTTATAGCAGCATAATTTATAATCCTTTGGGTATATACCCAGTAATGGGATGGCTGGGTCATATGGTACTTCTAGTTCTAGATCCTTGAGGAATCGCCATACTGTTTTCCATAATGGTTGAACTAGTTTACAATCCCACCAACAGTGTAAAAGTGTTCCTATTTCTCCACATCCTCTCCAGCACCTGTTGTTTCCTGACTTTTTAATGATTGCCATTCTAACTGGTGTGAGATGGTATCTCATTGTGGTTTTGATTTGCATTTCTCTGATGGCCAGTGATGATGAGCATTTTTTCATGTGTCTGTTGGCTGTATGAATGTCTTCTTTTGAGAAATGTCTGTTCATATCCTTTGCCCACTTTTTGATGGGGCTGTTTGTTTTTTTCTTGTAAATTTGTTTGAGTTCTTTGTAGGTTCTGGATATTAGCCCTTTGTCAGATGAGTAGATTGCAAAAATTTTCTCCCATTCTGTAGATTGCCTGTTCACTCTGATGGTAGTTTCTTTTGCTGTGCAGAAGCTCTTTAGTTTAATTAGATCCAAACAACATGTTTTCTACTGCTCAAACACTGTACTTTCATATCGTTGTTGTTGGCTCAGCCTGCACCTTAAATGTGGAATGACCTTTCACAAATCTTTCTTAAATCCAACTTATCTGTACCCAGATGAGCTAGCAAATAAAGGTTTAAATAAGTAAGGAATTTAATTTTTATCATGTAAAAAAGAGGTCCAGACATGACCATCTATTGCTGGTAAAGTATTTTCACAGAACCCTTGGGAACTCTGACTTCTTTTAGATTTTATACTTATGCTTCTTGCCTCATGGTTCCAAAATTACTGCTTCACCTCCAATACTACATTCACATTCCAGAGAGGAAGTGGAAAAAATAAATAGGGAAAACAGCATATCACAGCAAGTCTTATCACCTTTTTAAAAATT